ATTGTATTAGTTAAGTCTTATTTTGAGCGTATTTGTACCAAGGTTGTAGAGGAATCATGTACTTTGAAGAATGCTATCAGTTGATCGCTTGCAAGGCGTGAAACTCGGAGTAGCAACCATGCATGTCCCATTAGTCTGCCTTATTCAATATTTATATACCGGTATATTATGCTTTTGTAAAAGCGAATAGTACTGGTAGTGGTACACTGAGCAAACTTCTGGGGAAAAAGATTTCTAAAATCGAGAAGTTTGGCCATGTTTTATAGGCTGAGTTGTCGCTCCATGGTGTAATCATTAAATAAAAAGAAAAGTCAGTACAGCCCCCAAAATAGGATCAGATATCTATGAACCTTCCCCCCCCCCCCCGCCCCCACTTCTCCTTCACTTTTGAAGATTGTTGGACATTTTAACTGCGTGGCAATGACTACTATTATATGTAATTTCCAATAAATGCATAGGCCCTATTTCCGACAATTCCACTTTCTTGTGGGCTTGGTATTTTATTACTCTGAAACAAAGCAGAAAGCCATGTTATCAATGCTAATAACCCATCACATTCCCGAAGTGCGCGCGTTGCAATAACATATTGTCGATTACTGAGTGTAAAATAGTCTGGGAAAAAATCAATAAGCAGCTTTGTTACTCCGATACAAAGCAGAAAGCCGCCCATGTTACATCAATTAAAGAGAAGGTTGAGTTCTGGGAAAGGTGAACAATAATTTGTGAGCGTTTGTTATCATTCTTATTATGCAAGTGTGGAAGAACATCAAAGAAAAAAGTTATTCCCTGAAAATCTTTTTCAAATGACTTCATATAAAGTAACAATTTTAAAATGAGGCCCGATTTGTATGCCATATGTTTGTGTAGTCCCATATCAATATCTTTCTGTGTACAGTGCTTGTTACCTTACCAAGACTGGGCCAAAGTTTTTTATCATTTTGATGACTCCAAAACATTGCACTACACACCAATACTTACATGTTTATGCTAGATGATCAACCTTTTCTGATTGCTTCCACACCGTTTCTTTCACAATGCAATCGTAAGACCAGAACTCAACGTTATCTTTAAATGCCAACCGCACCACCACATTCCAGAGAAGCGCGCGCTTTGCAGAGGTTCGGTTTAAGTTACATCGTTATTTATATAATGATGTGCAAAAAAGTTGATTGTGGATTTAATCCACAATCAACTTTTTGTTTATCTATACCTCAATAGTAATCATTACTATTGAGGTATAGATAGTCTGGGAGAACAGCAACGGGCATCAATTATTCCCTCGACATGAACGTATAGATATCAAAACGGACAAACGACATGCGATGGTGGTAATTGCATCAAATAAGGGTGGAATGAAGGTCATATATGTATATATTTTCCACATTGTATTATCCTCAGGACATGTACGAAATACAACACACAGCCATTTATAAAATTTACATTATGGAAGAAAGGAATATAATAGACTAGCCCATGCAGTAGCTGTACGTCTCGACATTCTGTGTGATAAAAGTGCTGAGATATTATGACGGCACTCATTTTTTTTTTACTTGTACCTCTGACATTTTTACCTCTGACATTTTTTCCTCTGACATTTTTACCTCTGACATTTTTACCTCTGACATTTTTTCCTCTGACATTTTTACCTCTGACATTTTTTCCTCTGACATTTTTACCTCTGACATTTTTACCTCTGACATTTTTACCTCTGACATTTTTTCCTCTGACATTTTTACCTCTGACATTTTTACCTCTGACATTTTTTCCTCTGACATTTTTACCTCTGACATTTTTTCCTCTGACATTTTTACCTCTGACATTTTTACCTCTGACATTTTTACCTGGCACCTTTAAAACATATATGAAAAAGGTAAATTAACGTTTGCAATTTATAGTGATTTTATTTTTAAGAAACATAGGGATGAAATAGGGATAGCCGTGTGCAGCAAAGGCCCTACACAATAGCAGACTCATTTTATTTGCAGGTGATAATACAGAACTGTGAAGCACATTAAAGGTAAAGACCAGTATTGGCAACGCCCCAATTTCAAAAAATGAAATGGAAGCTCTCATTACCAATCATGTGAAAGAATATGTTTTGACTAATACATGATGATAAAAAATTTGCCGGGAAACCACCTACTAATTCATATATTTGGTAAATTTATTTCTCTCATGGTCTGGTGAGAGAGATAGGGTAGTCCCATATACATCTTTCTGTGTATAATGCTTGTAACTTTACGAAGAATGAGCCAAATTTCTTATCATTTTGATGATTCCAGAACCTTGCAGATGCTAGATGCTAGATGATCGACCTTTTCTGATCGATTCCACAACGTTTCTTTCACAATGCAATCGCATGACCATTACTGGTCTTTACCTTTAATCTATTATTGTATTTTGCTGTACGCTTACCTCTATGGTTTTCCTGCTGCCAATGTGAAAGAGGCTATCATGTAATGGGGTTTTCTTTTTCTGGGACAGAGACTTTAATCATGGCGTAACTGGAAGCTGAGGAATTCAAGGATCACTTTAATACACCCACACTCCAAATCCCTGTCTAATTCAAGGTGATGCATCAAATTGACAACTGTAAAAATATATTTACCAACTGATTGAGTATGTGTGGTGTGTGATAGATAATGTATGTATTCAACAAAGGGGGAAGAAGAAGGAGAAGAAGAAGGAGAAGAAGAAGAAGGGGAAGAAGAAGGAGAACAAGAAGAAGGAGAAGAAGAAGTAGAAGAAGAACAACAAGGAGGAGAAGAACAAGAAGAAGCAAAAGAAGAAAATGAAGAGGAAGAAGTGAAAGAAGGATGAGAGGTGGTCTATGAGTGAGCAAATTAATATCATGATTTCTTCAATTGGCTTTAGAGGACACTATACGTGCAGATAAGAGCTATATATAAAATGAGCTGCCAGAAAACATGTTTTCTCCTTTTATTATGGTGTCCTCCCTTTTAGATTACCAACTGTCAGTATATCAATATTCATTTCTAAACAGGATTTTATTTCTGAACTGAAAATTTAGGAACAATGTCATCCATTAGATCAAGTAAAATACATGTACATGAACTAGACAAGAAAATTAAAATACAATAATTAGTTCCACAAGGTAACCATCTGCCAAGCATATTCATGTCATTGAAAAGTAATTGAGCTGACAAGGCGTGATTTCCAAGAATAGTTAGACATACATAATAGCCTTCAATATGCAATTGAAAACCTAGTTTCTATACTTGAGTCACAACCCAATAGCCTAGAATATCACTAGCATTCAATTCTGCAGTTGGTGGTTACATTTTAAATACCCTTTGTGTAAGAACTAATTAAAAGATAGTGTGTTGCCAGTGTTTGCACTCCTCAGTTAGGTTCGTTAAACACTTAGTGTCTTGTTAACAGGGTCATAAACATTAGGACATGATTACAACTCATCCAAAGCTAAACATAAATAGGTATGAATCAATGATCCTTTGGCAAGACAATATTTAAATGCCATCTTGTTAATTTTAATTCAGCAGGCCTGTTTTAATCAGCTCAAGTTTGCCAAATAACCAGCGATTTGCAGACTCTGGATATTATCTTGAAGCTCAAAATTGCATCTTCATCAGAGCGGGCTAATTTGCCAAATAGCAGGATATTTTCTTGACCCAATATTCCGCTAATTGCAACTGCGGGCTGATGAAGACGCAAATTAGCTGGATAATTTGAGATCGGGATAGTTAAAATAGCGGGTTATTAGGCAAACTCTAGCTGATGAAGACAAGCCTAATGATCAGTGTAGCTGTCCACAACTTAAACTAATATTTAGATGGAAAAGAAAGTTTATTTTTAATTGCCCAAGCCAATATTGCCTCAATATCCATCTTAAAGAAGGTCTAAGAAAGGGCTATATCGTTCTATAAATGTATTTTTTTTAATGACTCAAGATGGTTTTGTTTGCTTGCTTTTTGTGCATATGTTTTGTAATCAATGATACAGCCATCTGAAGGAATCAAGACAACAACAATGCACACTGTATATACACTGTACACTATACTGCTTTAACAAAATCCTGAACTCGAGCTTGCAAGAGAGTCTTTGTTTGAATTTCTTTGAAATCATTTTGTTTTCATCCCATATCGTATTCCCCATGCTGTTCATGCTCCCATTTTGACTCCATCATTGAAATCCAATACCTCGGCTTTGATTACTAGTGAAAGACATACATTTTCTACTGGGTTCTTCCAGAAAGGCTGGTACTTGTTGAATTCATGGGTAGGTAGGTATTCATGTCTTGCCTATATAATAGATACGACTTTCACTGCAGGGAAAAAATTAACGTTTATTTTTCGGGGGCTACTTTTCAAGCTTGCCTGCATGAAAATAACATTTTAAAATTTGTTTTGCATTGAACTCTATGCAAATTTATGGGGCTCTTTTCAGATTTTCGGGGGCTCTTTTGGGCATTTCGGGGGCTAAATCGCCCCGAGCCCCGTGTATTTGTTTCACTGTTTCACTGATCTACCTAGTATCACGTTATCAAGCCTAAACCTCTATTAGATGCACATCATACATAAAGCTTTGTTTTGTAAGACCTCTTTTGTCATGCTGGTTAATGCTTAGTATTCACTTCCTCCCATCTCCCTGCTATTAACATATTTCAATTTATATTGTTGAAATTTAAATAGGCTTAGAAGTGCAGATTGCACATTTCAGTGTTATTACATATGACATACACTGATTGTCAGACCTGCAATGGTGGGGTTTTTTATTTTTAAAAAATATATAAAAAAACTCCTCCCAAATTGCAATCTGCATGAGGTTCCTCAAGAACAATTCTTTTTTTTCAAATTTTCAGAGCTCTTCAAAAGCTTGACTTTATTTAAGTTATTGTATTTTTTTTTTTTTTTTTTTTTTGGGGGGGGGGGGGGGGTGTATGGGGATTTTTTCTACCTGGAAGCAAGGAGTGTGCCCCTGTATAGAACACTGCTTTGGAGAGATTTGAACCAAGAACTTACCAGCATCCTCTCAAAGGCTGCGAGGACTTCATTGTCCGTGAGACTGGCCTCCAGAGATCTCTCATACTCGGCCTGAGCTTCGGCCGACTCTTCAGCAACATTCTGCTTGGACTGGGGGATCCGCGGCTGCTTGGCCGAACTCTCTTTCCGGTTGGGCTTGTTGGACCCTCGTATGTTGCTGAACTGCAAGGTAGAAAAGGAAAGAGAAGAGACAAGTATATTAATAATGGTTGAATTACAGTATCTCAGTCTTCATTTATGGTTGAGTACCTGAACATAAAAGTAATTCAACAGACGATCTTTCACCATGCAAAAGCCACTATGTTCTTCAAGATGGGAAAGAGTATCCTCAAGAGGCACTTCTCTGTTGTTAGGATGCAGCATGTGCTATGTCAGGTCACCCAGGGTCACCAGACTGCTGTGTAGGGCATCAAGTAATACAACATTGACAGAAATATTTGTCAGCAACCTTAACATTTTATCAAAGGAGAATACAATCAAACAAGCATTAGCTGAAACTCCTGATAGAACTTTGTATTCAAAGCTGTAAGCCAATTAAAAAAAGTCTTGAAATAACTTTCATCTGATTACTTAGCAAAGAAAACAATCTCACTAAAGTTTGCAAACTTCTTGGTAGCCATTCTTCCATGGTAGTTGCCATTTTGATTCAAGTAGTGATGCCATGCTAGTACAACTTGAGAGATACTTACTGACCTGTATTTTAGCTACTATGTAAGACACACGCATCTGTGACATGACTGACTTTTGTTACTAACAGACTATTAGGGTAATGGATATTCTCTCATAACATTTTGTGACAAGCTATTTGGTTCAGCTGTTTAAAACAGTTGAGTAGTTTCTTTTGTTTACCAACACTTACCACATGCAGCACGCCTAAGTTGGTGCTTGTCAGACAAAGCTCTGCCAATTATTCCAAGGTGAACAAAGACATACATGGAAGTAGAACTACTCAAAGAAATCACCTGTGTGAGATGCCAAGTAAAAAGGTGGCTGCTGTTTTGCATGCATGGCTCTTGTGTACAATAGCCAGACATTATGCAATACCATCTCTATCCCATTCTATGCAGGTTAAATGATACATTTAAATACACAGATCCTGAGTATCTCATATCACTACTTTAATACATCAAAATGGCAACTCCCGTATGATATTGTCTAGCAAGAAATCTGCAAACTATTGAGAGATTTCTCCTTTACTTGAATAGATTTAAGATGCATTTTTGATCAGATATCAGTGAGCTTTTATGACGGTTTGTGAAACGATGCCTTGGTTACCACAATCACTTCACATTTGGACATGTATAAATTCCTCCACAGCTACGAGCATTGATGTATATATGCCTCCATTGAGAAGTGGGGACAGCCCCAAATCATCACTTGAAGAATGGCATGTTATGACAATGCTAAATCCTTGGATTAGTATGTCTAATCCCTGCTTTGTCATTTAGCCTCCATCACATCACCCTATAAGAAGCTTACAGTATAGCTATTTGCCTGTGTGTCTACCTATATACATGTTCACATACCCTTGAAGCTCTTCATTTATATTCTCTCCAGTATGTTTTAGACGACGCACAGAAGAACAAATTCAAGGGCTCTAATAATGCAGGGATCTCATGCCACTCAGAGGCATCCAGAATACAATGACCAAACAAAAATGTCCACCTCAAGTTCCTAAACAAGATCAAGTGCACATCCACCCCCCCCCCCCACTCCCCACATACATGTCTTCTGCTGGATTGCCACAAAATCAGTTGGTGTTGAGACTTGCGATAAACCGGTATAGGCTTATGAAGAAGTGAAATAGGTTATGTATTAGTAACCAATTTAACAATAAGCCTGGGATAACTCCAGCTCATCTACTTTACAATGTTCCTTACAGTATCCAATGAAATATGAATGCTAATCAATCATTTGATCAACTCTAAAATATTGTAATCGGAGTTCTTTCCCTAACTTTCATTTATCAAGTTCAGGCATGTCATGGGTTAGTAATCATTTGCTCTTGTTGTCACACACACATGTTCCAAATATTTTCTTTTGCACTTCAAGAAACCAAAGAATTTATCCAGGAAGTCATTAAGACAGAAAAGATCAAAATTAAAATGAGAGTGAGGGGCCATGTAATAAGAAGACCCTTTTCTCTTGAACTACCACTTGCACTACGCAATTTTCTTAGAAAAACGTTCTGATGCATACTTTAACCGTGTTCTCAGAGTATCTGTACACTGTAAACAGATCACGCCCGCAAACTATTCATCCAGTGTAGTTTGAAATGCACCTTGTCATCATACTCAAATATTTGGGTATAAGTGGACTTTCGACCTATACAATAGGCAAGTTCTATTCATATAAATTTATGAAACATGTTCAACTGTAACCTAAAAACACATTGTCATATAGTTTATCAAAGACTAATATCATTGTAACAAATTATTGAACTATATGGGCTTCTTTGGTCAAAGAGGGTGTTATCATTACTAGTTTTCTACCTACAAGAAGTTTGAATATCTTTTTTATATTGTCTGGTCATAGATCTAATTTTATAGTATCTTATCAATGCATGACAGATCTTACTTTTGCTTCCCTCAATACTTTTGAGAAGTCTGGTAGAGGGACAGCAGTTCTTCTTCTTTCCCTATCTACCTTCTGTTTCTTTTCCTTCTTCTTTGGTGTATCCAGAGTATTCCCATGTTCTGTCTTCTTTTCAAAGTTATCCCTCTCTTCCTCCATGCCTCCTTCTCCAAAGTTCCCATTCTTAACGGGAGTATCCTCAATGACACTATCATCCAGGATGCTATCATCGGTCACACTGCCGTTCTCTTTCCTCTTCTTCTTCTTGAGCAACTTTCCTGCAGCGTTGGATACTTTCTTTGCCCTCGACTTCTTCTTCCGATCCATAGTTGGTGTCCCACTATCCATAGTTGGTGTCCCACTATCGCTGCTGTTGGTGTTGCCTTCGTCCTTGATGACAGTGACCTGAGGCGGTGTGGCTGTCCCATCTGTTTCACCTGTATCATCATCTTGTAAGACATCAGAATCTTCCAAGGACTTCTCCTTCTCTCTTGCCTTGGCCCCACCTCTGAACTTCAACATGGCAAATGACGTTCAACTACTTTTCGATGATTACCAAAGACACTATGTCCAGAAAGGCTCTTGGCTCCTCAAATTATGGTGATTAGCACAATTGCTCCTACTAGAGTATTCCTTATGTTACAGATTCATGGTCTATGTGGTTACAGTTCTAAAACCGATGTCTATCAAGCTACGTAATGTACACTCCTGAATGTCCAATGTGGAGAAGAAGTGAGAAGAAGTGCAATGAATAATTCAAGATTAAAGATCCACAAGAAACAGGACTCGCTGCTCTGTACGTGCCGAGTGTATGCTTTACACCACAACTGAATATTCAATTGTAATGCTAGTTGATATCCACCCTCATATAGGTTAAGACAATAGCAGTTTCAAGATTAGATACTGCAGCTAGCACACTCAATGTGCACAAAGGCTTTTCTGTAATATCCAATGCAGTAGTCCACTATGAATTGCGGCATTCCTTCCTCTCGAAGTCACACCTATATAATACAAACAAAGTAACCAGGCAATGACTGTATACCAATGTCCATTTACAGCTTTCAAATATTCAGTAGAAGGCGCAACGAGCCAGTAAACTGATAAAGAATCCAATGTAAATATCCTGGATGTTGTTCCCTTGCGTCAAAAAGAATTATCGACCAAAGTGAACAGTACACAAACTATATGACCAATCAATTGACATGTTCGTAAATCATTTGAAAATTTCGACAAAATTTGCATAAACGCTGTATCTGGATACGGGGATGAGGGTATACAAAATGACGATTGAAGGTTAGATTTCAGGTCCGACACGGATTTACCAACAACAAAAATAAATCAGATACAGGGATGCTGGTAGTATAAAGTGGAACGAGGCTCTGAAGTATGCTGTGTCCTGGAAACAAATCTGTACAATGGACAACAACACCAATAGGGAGAGGTGGGACCAAACAAAATAAAAAAGGCAGCTCAAACACTTCCGTCTTGTATTTGAAGCCTAACGAGTGAATGACAAGCAATGCTGATTGCAGACGCTGGGTGTCCAGGTGTGAAAGTAAAAATGCCAAGATGACATCAAATGAAGTACTTGTTTGTATACAGCTGAGAAAAACATGGATTAAAATAAGGACATCAAGAGCTTGCTCTCAGACAGCATAATTTTCAGAACCAAGTGAGTACCGAGTACATGAACGAATCTTTCATTTTACACGATCTTGGTTTCTCAGGAATTGAGAAACCTCGTTGTTCATACTATCAATATAGTCGTTATACGACGGACTCATACAGACCTGAAGGGATGGTGATCATTTTGATACACAGTGGTTTTTATCTTGCTCAATACATTTTATTTTGGGCAGGGGGGGGGGGGGGGGCGGAGGTTGGCAAATCTGCAGCAGCCCTTGTGTCTTTTTTGTTACCTCCCAATATCAAACAAACATGAACTACTATTTATAGAGGTGTCGTGGTCGTGGTTGAGTGGATATGACACCGGACTGTGGATCACAAGGTCCGCGTTTCAAGTCCCGTACATATCAAAGAGACTCATTAACTCTGCATATTATTATATATTACATTAAAATCTGTCGAGTGACATTACTGAACACCTGCAGATTAGTCTGATCATTATCAGTGTATTACTTTATTCACAGGATTTCTTTCCACACTTTTCACTCTTCACTGTATTCTACTGAAATTCAGATTCCATATTCCATCATACCAATTTGCAACACCCGGTATTTAAACAACAAAAAATTTAAAGAGTTTTCTAGAGTTCTTCTAAGGCTGTCCAAAGCTAATTTGATTTTGGGGGGATCAGAACAAAAAATCTTAACAATTTTTGAATTTCTTTTATTCAAGGTTACGGTGAATCCAAAGACTAAATATTCACAGCTATGAAATCTCCACTCTAGTGATATGATTGTACTAATTACCCGCATCCTATTCGCCTCTTATTATGCACAAAATGGCAATTTTTCACAAACACGCTATAAAATCTGTGCCAAGAAGTAACATTCAGAGGTCAAAATGAAGATATCTAAAAACAAGAATGGATCAAGAAACCATGAGAAATAAATACCATTTCAGGAGAGTTTAGATAATGAAGTGTCTTTGAAACCAAATCAAGGAGTATTCCTTACTTTTTTTTAATGATCCGATTACAATGGTTTAATGACTTATAAACAGATTGTTAAATTTGTAAATGAGTAACAATCTAATTTGGCAAGATTTCAAATGGAAGTTCCTATCATTCTGATATAGGTAGAACGTGTACGTGCTGGGTATTTTGGTTGTATTCATGGCCATTGAACAGTTTCTTGATTGACAATTATAGCAAAAAATGTATTAAAATAATTCATGAACATGAACAGCGAATAGTCAGCCTAAAGCCGTGAAAAATTGTTGAAGTGTTGATTTTACTCTTAAAGGATTAAATTATCATATAATAGCATGAGTGAAAAAACTTCTACTTCTTCACTCAAAAATATGAAGCCATACGTATCCTGATTTCTGCACACATAAATGTATAAACATTGATTGATTACTTCATTCTATCTACACTGTATATATAGCTATTGTAATACAAGCCAAGTATTCAAAATATTCAAAATATCATTATTGAATATGATAATAAACAAGTCTTATTCCCCTTAAAGTCAAAATTAGTGAACTTTCATGTACATGTATGATAAACTAAAGCAAATCGAAGATTACTTGAATATTACACAAGCCTATCATTCAAATTATATATGTTCAGTTCAGTAGGCCGAATATCATTCTGTACACTGTGTATAGTACGTGTATATATACATTTGTGCAAGGACATGCTCAAACTGCCACTTCATACTTCATAACTTCATAGCAAGTTAACACCTCTCGTGGAATGATAATAATCTAAATGCAGATTTACTCACCGGCCTCTTTCGGCGAAGACTAAAACTCATCTTCTTCTAATAAACAAACCTCGACAAGCTTGAAGATGGCACTCAAAAACAGAGAAAACTCTTGAAATCATAATCATGGCCAACCCAACTGTCTAAAGCACATTCATATTATGATGACCCGCCAAACAAATTCAAAAAATCATTACATGAGCATGCATGCTCTGAAAGTTAAAGTCAACAGACCGCGGCATTGTTTGAAAAGAACAGAGTTGGTGAACCTTGGACTGTTATTGTTAACGTTCGCAAACAATAGAGGCATTCCCCATTCTCGCTGGCACTGCCACCTTGCCACCTTGTGCACACATGGACATTCGTTTCACCAGCTAAGGTTGATATTAAGTTTATTAACCCAATAAATACTATTCGATTGTAACATGCATTTTCCTGAGACCCAAATGAAAGTTATCTCACACTCAGTGTGGACAGGATTAAAACATGATAACTTCTGAGACACTACAGGACATGCTGTAAAATGTAGCAAACCTGTTATGTGCAACATACCTCAAACCAGTTTCTGAAATTGATAGCTCAATTTTCTTTGAACAATATGAATCATAGCGTGCCTGACAAACCTTGATGCAGACAACCTTCTGCAGGCAGCCAAGAAAATACCCCTCTGAAGCAACAAGGACAGTGCCTTGCATTCCAGAGAGCTGATCAATTTTAATTTTATTTCCTTCACTATGAATACAAAAAAGGGGAGGACTAAAGTTTTAATAAATATTGAAGCAAGAGATAACAAAAAAATATATAAAATATCACTGGATGGGGGGGGGGGGGGAGGGGGAGGGAGGGGAAGGAGGAAGGGGGGACTCTTATTATGAATAGCACAAGGATCAACTTTAAAGGCACTATCCAACACTTTGACAAGGGTCTCAAATTGTTAATGTCTATTAAACTTACATTCCAAAAAGTCTCACCGTACGATATATATAACGGCCATGAAGACATGCACATACAGCATCGTATATAAAATTGAGAATATGGTTGATAAAGTTACTTATTAAGTGATTATACTGCAGTACGAATAACCATAAATCATATACATGTATATCAACATAACTATTAAAAGGAGAACATTTCAAAGGATTTTCACACTAGTGTGCTACCAATATGCTTTTCCACCCATCCCAAATGGACTGATTTATCAACATGTAATTTTAAAGCCTTTAATAGTACATGTTCCTTTAAGAGCTACGAAAAGAATAAGATATACAACTGCAGTTCCAACATACCGGTACTTGAAAATAACCTAAACGAATATCATTTAGCATGCCATGAAATCAAGGTTTATTAATTAGTAGTTTGTTTATGAGCAATTTACTGGCAGACCTTGACCAAGGATTTGTGTTAGTTTCTATCATTTGCATATTTTGTCCTTATAAACTGCTACAGCTGTAGTTAAAAAACCTATGTAGGACTTGAAGGTGAATAGTTTGATCTCTCTGCACACTGCATGTTTGATCAAATACATTTCCTTTAATTTAAAATGATAAGTCACAGTGTACACAATAAGGAATAAATATGTGTATAACTTCATTGCCAATAACTGACACATTGTTGTTTATTCATCATTTTTCACGAAAATTGGTTTGGAAAATGATGAAATTGTACATTCTGTCTCCTGTTGTAGGGTGCCCATGTTCGTAATAAGCAGGCGCTCCAATAACTCTGCAATGTTTTGAATGTTGATAACCAGTCAAAGCCCTTATAGCTCTCTATACGGCCAAGTATATGCCATGCCCAACTTCACTTTCCTTAATAGCTCTGCAGTTCTGCTTCGAGCACATAGAAAAGGCCGCCTTCCGTCGCAATCACCACAAATCCATAAAATCAATGCATTTATTTTCATCTTGGAACAAAGTGCCTATCCTCCATTGGGTGATTTGTTGACTTGAGTCACCGCAGGGCACACAATGAAGGAGATCCGCAGAGATCAATTTAACCAATGTTTCACTTTCAATCCCAAACGAGGGCTGTGGACCGACCGGTGGTGCGTAATGCAAAAAGCAGGGACGTAGCAAGGCCTTTGTTCCTCTGGTGCAGAGATCTTCTCAGGAAAAACATGTAGTCGCTTTCACACTGTCCCGATTGAGAAAATGTTGTTTGGAAAATAGAGCCACTGTGTAAAATGTGTCTACACTTCAAACAACATACCTGTACATGCATATCTTACATATTTTATCAACAAATCATTTTGATATAGCCATTGTCTGTTTCTTTTTTTGTATCACACTTAACATTGAGGATGACCACACAACAATTTTTCAGCATTTACATATTAAATCTCTCATAGGACATACACAGAAATAACACCATCAGAAATCAATAATTTTGATGGTGTGAATACAAATTATGAGACAAAAGCATGTAAAATTATTCCTTTAAA